GTGGGTGTGAGAAGTACAATACACAAAAGGTGACGTTTCTACCTTAGTGGCGTGGTGGCAGCGACGACTAGAACCCTCGTTTAACGAATCTAATCATCTTTTACGTCATTATGAGTGGAGTGATAATGAGTGGACGGTTTGATCTCTGTGAAGTCACGATCATCTCAGCTGCATTCAAGCTGACGGATTGATACGGGAGAAACAACACTGACTTTCCGATATCATCTTGGGTCCTGTCACTATCAAGGTGACGATGGAAATCCCTGTCAGGCCGATGTAGTTTGTGTATATATTTATTTTGGTTTCAATCCAGGTATTTTACATACATCAATTACATGTATAGTATGACCAGAAATTATTGAGAATTTTAGGAATATGTTTAATTGGATTTCTAGTATAAACAACCTTGACCAGCTATCAAGTGCTTGGTTTCATTCAAGAGAGACAACTCCGTTAATCCCTTTTTTCATTAGTTTGTGAAGAGTTACCCCCCTTTGTTTACTTGCTTGCAGACGACATTTTCAGTGATCCTCATTATGGATGATTGAGAGAAGAGGAAGTTGATGTTAGAGTATTATAACAAGGACATCAGATCAGCTGAAGTGATTTCAAGTAGAACAGGCATCCCTTTGTCCACTGTTTATCGTGTGTTGAAAAATATTGCAAATGCATATGGCATTGAGCACCAGGGAGGCGCAGGTAGGCCCAGAAAATTGACTGTCGGTGACAGGAGGCGGCTTGGTATTCTTGTTTCTAAAAACAAACGATGTAGTTTGTGTATATATTTATTTTGGTTTCAATCCAGGTATTTTACATGCATCAATTACATGTATAGTATGACCAGAAATTATTGAGAATTTTAGGAATATGTTTAATTGGATTTCTAGTATAAACAACCTTGACCAGCTATCAAGTGCTTGGTTTCATTCAAGAGAGACAACTCCGTTAATCCTTTTTTTTCATTAGTTTGTGAAGAGTTATCCCCCTTTGTTTACTTGCTTGCAGACGACATTTTCAGTGATCCTCATTATGGATGATTTAGAGAAGAGGAAGTTGATGTTAGAGTATTATAACAAGGACATCAGATCAGCTGAAGTGATTTCAAGTAGAACAGGCATCCCTTTGTCCACTGTTTATCGTGTGTTGAAAAATATTGCAAATGCATATGGCATTGTGCACCAGGGAGGCGCAGGTAGGCCCAGACAATTGACAGTCGGTGACAGGAGGCGGCTTGGTATTCTTGTTTCTAAAAACAAACGAAGGAGTTTTGACAACTTAAGGCTGGATATGATTGATAGAGGAACTGTGGTTGTCTGTTAGAACAATTAGAAGAGACATTTAGGAGACAATTAGAACTGAGCTGCATGCAATGGGTTGGCAGAAAAGTCGAGGAATTCCATCACCGATCATGAATCCTGGACAAAAGGAGCGAAGGTTGAACTGGTGCTTACAGCATAGAAATTTTAACTGGGACAATATGATTTTCTCAGATGAAAGTTCTGTGTGGCTGTTTCCTAATACATTGAAATTCTGGACCAAACAAACTGAAAAACCTTTGTATATCAGCGCCCAAAGTACAGGCCGAAATTTAACGTGTGGGGTGGCATATTTGTGTTAGGGGCAACGCCCCTCTGTGTATTTGAAGGGAATATGAACAGTGAGCGGTACACAGATATTCTCGAGGGACATTTACTTCCATCTGCTCACGTGTTCTATGGACATTTTTGGATTTTCCAGCAGGACAACGACCCAAAACATCGTTCAAAGCATTCACAGGCCTGGTTTCGGACCCAAAATATGACATTATTAGATTGGCCAAGCTATAGCCCTGACCTAAATCCAATAGAAAATGTTTGGGGACTTATGAAGGAAAGTGTCAATAAGCAAAATCTGACAAATATTGCTGAAATGAAAGAAGAGGTGGTCCGATATTGGGACAGCATGGACCACGACTTTCTAACTTCTTTGATCAGTAGTATGCCCCGCCGCATTGAAGCCTGCATTGCTGCCCATGGTGATTTGACAAAATACTAACTGTTCACCTGTCTTTGAATCTGGAGTTATGTTCTGCTAATATTCACATTTAATACGTGAGTAATGAGTGAACATTTTTTAAAAATTACAATCTTTCAATTCTCAATAATTTCTGGTTGTACTGTATTTAGTTAGTAGATTCATTTCACAGAGCATCAGGACTTCACTGTAACCTACTCATTTGTCCATTGCCAAGAGGCACTATAACCCGATTGGCCAAGCTGACTCAAATTGTGAAGCTGAATGTTTTGTTGGTTAATGAATGAGGCTTAAGTGTGGCATGTTTGAAGTCACGTGCACGTGCATTCCGGGAAAGAAAAACAGAGCGAATGACACACAATACTGTCACATTGGAAAACTCAACCCCTGCCCTTGCGATCGTTCAAAAAATAAACGGCTATTGAAACGCATAGCATGCCAAGGCTCACGTCTGCACAACGTCATGAGTCCATTGGGATGGTCCGTGGGGGAATGTCTCAACGACAAGTGGCTGCACATTTCCACTGCCACCGGAACACCATTTCTGCACTGGTGAGACGCTACCAGAACACAAATGACGTCATCGATCGGCCACGTTCTGGACGTCCACGTGTCACAACGCCAAGACAGGACAGATGGATAAGGGTGACCCATCTTCGCCACAGGTTTCAGACTGCAGTGATGACTGCCCGTACTATCCAAGGACTTCGCCGTATCCACCCCAACACAGTTCGACAACGTTTACGTCATCACTGGATCAGACCACGACGTCCCGCCATACGGCCTATCCTGACACAACGTCATCGATAAGGTCGCCGAATGTGGTGTCCAAATCATGTCCGCAGACCCTTGTTTTGGTGGAGAAATGTTGTTTTTACAGATGAGTCCAGGTTTAGCATTTCCCATAGTGATGGACGTCAACGTGCCTATAGACGCGTGGGAGAACGTTATGCACAGGCGTGTGTCTTGGAGGGGAATCGCTTTGGTGGTGGTGGTTCCGTGATGATTTGGGGTGGAATAACAGCACGCCAAAGAACTCCTTTGGTGATTGTTCAGGGTAACTTAACTGGTGTGGGCTACAGGGATCAGATTCTTCGACCTGTGGCAATTCCTTTTCTGCAACGTCATGGCCCTGGGTTAACATTCCACAGGACAATGCCCGCCCTCATACGACAAGGGTTGCTATGGATTTCTTGCAACACCACAACGTTGACTTACTGCCTTGGCCTGCAAATTCACCGGATCTCTCCCCGATAGAGCATGTTTGGGACGAGATGGATTGACGTCTACGCCGTCTTCCTCATCCGCCAGATAACGTCCTTAACCTTGCAACATACCTTGAAAGAATCTGGCGTGACATCCCACAAGCCTTCCTTGCACGTTTGATAGGCTCTATGCATCGTCGATGCACTGCTGTTCTCAATGCCGATGGTGGACATACCCGTTATTGAGCTTGTGACATGGTCGTTTGACCCATGTCCTGCTTGTGGACTCGTGACGTCATTGTGATTGACTTTTCAATTGAAATTCTACCGACTTGTTATGGTCTCATGATCGCTCCATTAAAGTTTATATGTACCTTTGACATTGTTATCGTACTTATCAACTGGGATAATATTTTGACAATGCACAGTTTCTTTATGTGGCTAGTATACTTGGTTTCAGGTATAGTATGAACGTCAGGATCACAATTAATGCAAATAGCATGTGTCTGTCGTAAAGTATTGTACATGTTTACACAAAATTTGTAAGCGTAATGTATTTATATTTTGTATTAAAATCGATAAGTTATCTCCATTTGGATAATTTGTCTCGAGATAAAATTGTGTTACGTGTTTACTACTGTATATGCTATTGTATTAACGTTTAGCATTCGCCGAAAACTAGTATCCTTCAAAGTTGTATATTTCTAAGTTGGATATAAAGAGAATACAAAGTGTTGGCCCAATCCAACTTATCCTTTTAACATACCTGACGATGGGGCCAGAACAAGCCCTGAAACGTTGTACCAAACAATAAAAAGAAGATTAAGCCCAGAAAAGTCTCTATGTTCAACTTATTTCACATTACTGCACTATTAGGAAGTAAATATATTTACGACACTGTTGGATTCTAAATATGTACAATAACCATGTTATAATAAGTGGGCAAGAATCTTAGATTGCAAACTTTTAGAAAAGGAGTGGAGAGTATTGAATATGATAGCTCATAAATGCACTCGTAGTACTGACTTACAATGGCTGCAATATAGGGTTATTCATAATATTCTTCCTACGAACTGCTTCTTATTCAGGATAAAGATATCGGAATCACCCCTTTGATGTTTTTGTAATAAAGAATGAGAAAGTTTAGAACACCTGTTTTGGTATTGTGATCCGTTATTAAAAATTTGGAAAAGGTCAGAAAAATGGCTAGAAACAGCTCAAATTTACATTAATTTCACAATTTATGTTATATTAAAATACAGTGAAAACATGAACATTCCTAATTTCAGGTAATACCGTATATAGCAAGCCAAATTAAGCAGTACAACGACATTACAAAATATATTTACATGTATTTAGTTTCTGGTGAAAACGATATATTTGTTAAATTCTGTACATCACCACATACTGTATTGAACATGTAACTTTACCTCATTGACTGTACATAGTAATAGGACACTGTATTTTATGTACCTAATATATATCAATGTGTGTGTGTGTGTATGTGTGCGCGTGCGCGCGCGCGCGTGTGCAGTTGTAAACGACATACCGATCTGTAAATTTGCAAACATACAAATTATGGACACACACACAAAAAGAAAAACCAAACAACAATAAAATTGCTAGGGGGGGCATCAATTTTGTACACATCATCTAGCAATTTTGTACATACAAATATTTTCAAATTATGCTTAAAAAGTATGGGAAAGGACATCATGGGGGATTCATTGATATTGTACATGACATGCAGGGGGTGGGGAGTGTCACTTACTTTGTACATAAATTTATTTCTAGCCTTCTCGTCATCAACATCATTCTCTTTCTATATATGTTGTTGTTGTTGCATTTTGTTTGTATCATTTGTGTTTCTTTGTTTGGTCCCGACACGAACAGGTCTTTCAAGCTCACTGACGGAAGAACCGGCTGACAGGTGCTCGAAGAGAGTTACTTCCCTTAGTAGAAACCACTGGCAACGGCGTTGTTGAAGTATGGCCGACGCTCGAGAGCTGTCGTAGAGTCATAGAACAGAAGAAAGGAAGCAATTGTAGTTCAACCTTATATTACTAACTGGGCACCATGGCTGCTGTTCTAAAAAGTGCAGCTGTGTCAAGCTCAAATAAAGGACAACCAAGTTCTTTTTACAGCAAGGATAAACCGAATCCAGTGTTTCAATCACTTGATCAAGAATTCAAAAAGTTTGCTGGATATATGAAAAAGAGAGCTGGCCCTGGCTACAGGAAACCGGATGAAGAGTCATATTCAAGGCCGTAAGAATACCAATATATGTCGCCTTATTCTGGATATATTCTTTTATATTGCAACATTGTTGTTTCTCAAATTTTACAAAGATAAATTTGAACATAGCGATTTTTACGGATTTCTTACAATCTATGAGGATGCTATTGCTAACAGAGAGTTATATGGGCTACTATATAATGACCTGAATGTTACTCAGCTTTCAAAAATGTTAGAATTTTATTATTATTTGTCCAAACTCACATATGAATGTGTCATTCTTATATATATGGTTCATTGTCAGATCAAAGGTTTTTGGACTTCACATGTTTTAGGACATCAGTCTTTTATTCACACTATAATGATGCATGTTGTGCCATACAGACATTGTAAATACTCCTATGATGGCTTGTGTTTAAGATAAAGTTATCTTTTATAAAACTTAGTTAGTTACACATTTTGCAATTATTCATGTGTTAATCAGGACAACTTCAGATGTCCTTAAGCATCAGAAAACAACAAACCTATACCCTGGTAAATTATTATCATATTTGAAAATATCACACCTCACAATGCCTTTCCAGAGCCGATACCTTATTTGAATTGTGGAACAAGTATGAGGCTCGCCTTCCCACAGTTTACTATCAAAAGAAACTACTGGAAATGGGAGATTTTCTTGTCACCATGAAGGTAAATTGTTTGAATAGTTGTCATATTGTTATTCTCCTTTAATATTTCATTTTGTCAAATATAACTCATGTAGGCTTCAGAAATGAATGAAAACAAGAAATATTCTTGTGGATATAATGCATTCAAGATCAGACAAGTATATGTTGAGGATGCAGACTGAGATTAAATGTATCATTTCATTGTTCACCAAAGCAAGATACTTCATTCTCAATGTTATGACCCAATGGTCATTTCTCAGTCACTTGATATTAATTATTCTTGTCTATTTTCTATAGACTTTGCCTGTATACTTTCTCAAAGATAAAGGGAGAAGGCGATAAGAGGGTTGTTAAACTGTGTCTGTCAGTGTCAAATGTTAGTGTTTTTTGTTCAGGAGTACAAGCTTGCTCTGTGGCAGTGTTATGAAAGGTATCTGCAAGCTTTTGGGGATGTCAATGTGGAAGAGATCACCAATGTAGACATGTTCCGAAATACTTTCTTCCCAAATGGTTTTGATGGAGAAAATGCTGGACTGACAGTGAGTATGACAGTTTGTAGCTTCAAGATGAATTAATCTCTTTTCATGGCATTAACACACATTGACACCAAACATTGTATCTATTTGGTATTTGTTTTTCTATACATTTTTATTATGATTATGAGCAGAATGACTTCTAAAAGCCTTAAGATAATGTATTTTTATCTATAGCTTTATAAGCACATACAGTATCACCATGGCAATTGTGAAATTTAGAAAGAAATAATAAATGTCATCTTTGTGAAAACAAATGTACTTATTATAAATCTTTCAGGTCATGTTTGAAGTCAACAAGAATTTCTTTTGTACATTCAGTTCCGAGCCCTCATGGGGAAAAGTATCAGCATGTATCAGGTTGTGAAACTGTCGGACCCAAAGTTACAGAACAAACAGTCTGTTGACCGCTGTGTGCAGATCCTCATCTTTCTCAGACTGGTCATGCAAGTCGTCCTTCCCAAGGAATCCCTCTGTTGGCTTGTTTTCAATGGTATGTACCAAGTGTAGGATATATCTGTCAAGCAGACCAGTAACACAGAACTATCCACACCACAGATTAATGAATAAGAAACAAGGCACAAGAACCATATGAGTGATGTTTGTGGTAATATTTTATGTTTTAAAGTCATAACATGTGACACCAATGCTTGCAAGCAGTTAAGAACAAATATTGATTTTTTGGACAGAAAAGTGTGCTTGTCTCTTATAGAACTGAGAGTTATAACCGACAAGTGTAATGGGATGATAAACTGCTCCACTGGTTTAAGATGTTCTGATGTTGTCCAATGTTTCAGGCACAGTGCACATATACAGCATTTCAAGACACCTAATGTCACTGGGACATTCAGCAAGGGTATGTGGTGCTGTGTGCTTTGTCCAGGAATTCCTCTTTGATAATATAGACCCGTAAAGATCCGGGGTAGAATAAGTCTTTAGCAACCCATGCTTGCTACAAAAGGCGACTATGCTTGTCGTAAGAGGCGACTAACGGGATTGGGTGGTCAGGCTCGCTGACTTGGTTGGCACATGTCATCGGTTCCCAAATGCGTAGATTGATGCTCATGCTGTTGATCACTGGATTGTCTGGTCCAGACTAGATTATTTACAGACTGCCGCCATATAACTGGAATATTGCTGAGTGCAGCGTAAAACTAAACTCACTCACTCACTTTGATAATATAAATCATGTACCATATTTAGTATATACAATCATATTAAAACATGCAAAATGAGGAATTTGCTGCTGAAGCCAGTTATTAAAATGTCCATTGTGATGAATTCATTTAGAAACTGAAACATAAACGTTCACCCTGAAACTTTTATACAGAACTCAATCAATCAATCAGTGAGTGAGTGAGGTTAGTTTTACACACCGCACACAGCAATATTCAAGCTTTATGGCGGCGGTCTGTAAATAATCGAATCTGGACCAGACAATCCAGTGATCAACAGCATGAGCATCGATCTGCGCAATTGGGAACCGATAACATGTGCCAACCAAGCCAGCGAGCCTGAGCACCGAATCCCATTAGTCGCCTCTTACGACAAGCATGGGTTACTGAAGGTTCATTCTAACCTGGACCTTCACAGGTGAAATCAATCAATGACCTCACAAGATCAATGAATAGTCAATGCATCATAATCAAAATTAGGTTGACAGGAATAGAAGATATGAGTCAGTTATGTCCCACTGTCTCTAGCCTTGAATCAAGTGTTGGAAGCAGGCATAAGTTGACAGTTTAAAGCCAGCTGTCCAATCTGCTATTGTCAAGGAGATCAGACACAGGTCAGGTTATACCATGCCTTAGTTTTCCTTTCTGTACATCCAGCCTTGTAACTGTCCCAATCTAAACGTGAATCCAGATTCTTTAATGCTCAAGACAGCCATGTTCACATGTTCACAAAGGCAGAGAAGTCTAAATTACTAATGCCACTGACAGCTCTCCTCAGCATTTTACTGTTGCTTCAATAATTTGCTGCCGCACACATACTTAGTTCATCTGAGAGAGACTGTCTGGTCCAGACTCGATTATTTTGCAGACCACCACCATATAGCAGGAATACTGCTGAGTGCAGCGGAAAACTATACTCACTCACTCATCTGAGACATTGTAAAGAACAAAGTTGGTTATCATAAGTGACCCTGGGTGAACAAATATATAGCCAAAACAATCATGAGAAAGTCAAAGTGAATTTTTTTATAGTTGTAGGTGTGTTTTTACTTAGAGCATACATGTATATGAAGCTGAAGAGAAAGCTCAATTATTGGTAGATTAGTATATAGTATTGATATTAGATCAATCTATTTGATATGATATAAACCTGCATATATGAAGTCTGAATTAGGGGGAAATTAGGTCTATGTTGTAGTTGCAAACATGATGCAACTATGTAAACTTGCAGTTTTGAGAAATGAAAATATAGGATCTCAGATCTCAGTGATGCTGTGTTTGTGTAGGTCCTTGAGTTCCTGCTGTGGGCGAGCATGTGTATGGAGACCTCCGTGCCACTTCTGGCTGTCAAGTACCTCCCCTGGCGCACCACCCTCTACACTGCAGTGTGTCAGTGCTACTATGACTGCAAGGCAGGGCAACATGCAGAGGTGGGTGTCTCTTGGTTATAATGGGTCCAAGAGCACAGTTGGAGTCTTTGAACATTGTTTTTGCATACATGTGTTAATTAAAAAAGTTCTCTCCTCAAATGAATGGAGACTTGCAGGGATAAGACTTCTGTCATGTCTATAGCAGATTATACATTGTTATCCAAGTGATATCAAAGTGACTGTTAGAGGCATGGTGATTGTTGCAGGGCTTCGCACGCCGTGGACTGGCCAAGATCAATGAGTTGAGTAAGCTGGAGGGTCTGAGTAGTTCCCAGGAGACACCTGAGTCTGAGATTGCATTCAGGGAGGCAACGGTCAAGGTAAGCAGTTTTACCCTCACTGTAGTATATACACTGGGGGTACGAGATCACTTTTGCCAAAAGCCTCTGTAAAGCTTTATTTCATAAATAAAGCTTTTGTCAGGCCCCAATCTCTTCCGCTAGTGTATATACCACTTTTGAATCCCCAACCAACTTCCTGGTCACTATGACCGCGAGCCAACACTTTCCTGACCACAATTTAATGTGAATCTCCTATGATTTCTTTGGTTTTCGTAATGAAGGCTTGCGGGGCTTGTTGTACCCCTTGTTCTATGTAGGGCTTCAACGAGTCCATATTTTTGGACTCGAGTACTCGAGGGGTGAGACTCGACTCGGACCCGAGTACTCGAAATTCATACCTTTCAAGCAAACGATCAATTGTCAAGATAGTTACCTAATCATTTTAAGAAGTGAAATCTCAATCGATGTATAATATTTACTCTCATCTGCAGACTTGTAACAACTAATACCATACAGCCACACCGTGTGAGGAGTAAACTATGTAATCTAGGTGGTTATAAAAACATTATCAGATGGGTTAAAGAATTCAGGGTACATAGAACTCAGTATGTCAGTGTCAATGGCTATCAATCTTCTTTTCTCTCAACCTCTACTGGAGATCCACATGGCTGTGTTACTTCACCCGTACTCTTCGTTTTGTATACCAATGACTGTTACTTGTCAATATATGACTTGTTTACTGTGAAATTTGCAGATGACGCCACTGTTACTGGCCTAATTTCTGATTCTGAACATTATTATCGTCAAGGCATTGACAAAACCGTAATGACAGTTTTTTATCAAACCTTTTTTCAAAGTGTGTTGACCTACAATTTTCTATGTTGGTATGGGGATCTGTCTCATCGCAACAAAAACAGACTTTTCAAAATTGTTAATACTGCTTGCAAAATTTCTAGAGTGTATTTCGAGTATATTAAAAAAGACAGCTAAAAATGGATTTGATAGTTGACATATTTGATCTCACCATTTTGAACTACTTCCTTCTGGATGCTGCTGTCGATTACCTTCCCTCAAAACAGAGCTCGACAGTCTTTCATACCATCAAGTATTCGTGAATGCAACAAATATTTTGAATCACCATCATGTGATTACAACTAGAATTATTCAGCCTCTTTACCTATGTGGTTAATTGAATTATATCATGTCAGTTTTATTTGTAAATAGCATTCGTTTTTTGAGCATGTAATTATTGTGTATATTTTTGTGAACTGTGTATATGTTCATTTTGAGACAGGTTGGATGTATGAGAATTTCCTCTGGGATAATAAAGTTATATCTTTTTCTTAATATTAGACGTTAACGGCCGCTCATGCTTAGCACATGGCAGACAACGTCAATAAATCTCCCCTTTTCGAGCCCTCGAGTCCTTGAAAATGGACTCGAGTCCAGCTAAACCCGACTCGTCCTCGAGTGCCCGTGGAAGCCCTAGTTCTATGTACTTTTTATTCTCGTCTTCACTGATGGCAGTGCTTTTGCGAGACTTGGTTCGAATCTCTTGTTTCATTTTGTGGTACTTGGTGAGTTCAGAGAGGACCAAACGAAACTCCTCATCAGAGACTTTACTGTCAGTGAGTGCCGTGGAAATACGCTCACTTATCGTGTTCACTTTTGCTTCAGCCAGAACCCTGATCTCATCGTGTTTCAACGCTTACGATGCAATCTGTGTGATGCAAACTTAAACATCAACCCCACCAACCCTGACACCCCAGCTGTTATTTCGATGCCTAGCACTATAGGTGCGGCTACGATGGTGGACAATAACCCGACACCTACCGCCCCTAATCCCATACTGGCTGCCATAAGGGAGGTATCAACCCCATCCACGAAATTGAAAGCTCTATGGTATTTCTTACATAATGCTTTCCGTATGTCGCGATCTTGTTCTAGTTGACGGTTTATGTCACATAACTGTCTCAAACGAAATCCGTCTATGGTTTCCAGTGTTTTTGCTACTTCTTCTACGACTGGGTACAGCCCCATCCCATGTGTGTATTATATATTATAAGATAAAAATGAAATTTTTAGAGTAAAATTAATATTTTTATACTTATCCTGACTCATGCTTATTTGCTTGTCTTCTTCTTCTGGCGAACCTAGTGGAACACTTATATCTCCCAATTGAAGTTCCCTTCAATAAAAAATCACTCATTAGTACTCACCACGAGTTACCTCCCTTCTGCAAGCGCGGGAACGAGGGCGCCACCCAAGCCCATGTGCCTCACTCTCTCCTTTTTTGTTTTGAGCCCAACACTTTATTTTTCCCGAGAAATCCAAAGTGTCAAGTGGGGAGGACGGGAGGGCTTACCTCATGAGTCAGGATAAGTATAAAAATATTAATTTTACTCTAAAAATTTCATATTTTTTCTTATCCTGACTCATGCTTATTTGCTTGTAGAATCCTACAGATTAGGAGGTGGGATTATATATACTTTGGATTTTACTAATTAGTGATTTGAACTGAGATGATTGTAAAACCCTATGGGAACTTCATGAAGGCACTGAACTGAATTCCTGCTGTTAATTTAACAGCTGCCTTTTAAAGAAGGTTATTACAATTTACTGAATTTAATAAAAGTATATAGAACATTAATTAAGCTAAAGCCATTAATGTGATAGTATAAACTGTTGATAGTTTATAATGAATACTTTTATAAGAACCAAAGTAGTAAGCTTACAATATGGATATATATAAGCTATAACATAATTGTGCTTAAGATATAATGATAACTTAAGCTGTATAATAGTAACCAACTACTGAGAGTTTGATACTAATACATGTTATGAAATGAACATATGACCGAGCTTAAGGATAGAAACTTAAGCTGAACATATATATAATAGTAGAAACTCGTAAGAGTTGTAGGTATATATATATTATGATATAGAATCATAGTACTGAGCTTAAGATACTTAAGCAAATATATATAGATAGCATGTAGCTATTAGTACTGTTATCAGATAAGTATAAAATCAACAAGATAGACTTATCTTCTCCGTGGAACTGTCAACTGTTGAGCGAGGACCATGGGACCGAAATGGTGGATACCTGAGACGTCCTTGGTGGTGATATCTCTCAGATAGTGGTTGGCAAACACCATATCGGATCTCCAAAAAACATCCCTCCATAATGGTATTCAATGAGCAATTTCCATGTAAAGCCAAAGTTGAAGCTAGTGCTCTAATTTCGTGAGGATTTGCAGCACTTGGAGGGTCCAGTCCAGCTGCCTTGTAGGCACGTAGTATGACAGTTCTGATCCAAATAGAAATGGTAGTGCGCGACACTTCTGTCTGTGAGGCGGTAGATATAGGGATAAACAATCTTTTGAATTTCCCTCTACTTTGCTTGGATCTTTGGAGATATATTTTCAGTGCACGTACAGGGCAAAGTGATAAGTCCATCGTATCCTGCGGTCCAAGTATGGATGAGAGAGCTGGGACATGGAACAACCTGTCTGGTTGACCTGGTAGTTGATTTTTCGCTATAAAATCCCAGCGAAGTCCCAGATGAGCGATGTTATGAATATCATCAAATCGTGTTCTCTCGTAATCCAAAGCGTGAATTTCAGACATCCTGGCGGCAGTAGCTAACGCTAGCAGGAATAAGGTTTTGTGGGTCAATGATTGAAATGACGCAGATAACAATGGTTCGTAAGCCTCACTTGTGAGGTGTTGAAGTACAACATTTAGATCCCAGGCTGGCGCTTGAAACTTCCGTTTCTGGTCTTCCAATCGAAAGGCACGTAACAAAGCGAGTAACTCCGGTGTTTTAGTCAATTTGACGCCCGTTCTCATAGTTATGACTGAACTTATGGCTGCAAGATAAGTGGACAGTGTAGATCCTTTTAGATTCTTAGTTTGACGTAGGAAACATAAGAAATCTGCCACTTGAGGATGTGTAGCAAATCTGGCTGAAAATCCTTTCTTAGCAGCATAATTGACAAATCTGAGCCATTTGTCATCGTACAAGTTACGAGTAGAGTTACGTAGTGCAAGCGTGACCGCCTTCGCCGCTCTGGTGGAATAACCTCTCTTATTCAAACATGCCTTGATACAATCCACACGTGAAGTCGGAATGCTTCTGGTGTTTTGTGCACTTGTTTGGTGTGCGGATGTATCAGTAGATTGGAGCGTAGTGGGAGCTGAAGTACTGGTTTTCCGATTCCTAGTATGAGGTCTGGAAACCACGTTCTCGCTGGCCAGTAAGGCGAGACCAAAATGAGATCGAGGCTCTTCGTTTGACTGATTTTTAGCAAGACTTGTGGGATTAACGCAGGAGGCGGGAAAGCGTACGCGTTTAGTCCCTCCCACGATATGCTTAGTGCGTCCGTTGCCCAGGCTAATGGATCTGGCACTGGCGATACGAAGGTTGTCAGTTGATTGTTGAATCGGGTGGCAAATAGGTCTATCAGAGGAGATCCTATTTCCATGATTATCTGATTGAATATCTCTGTGTGGAGCATCCATTCTGTCGGCGACGGTTGGTGCGGCCGAGAGAGAGCGTCTGCTAACACATTCTTTGCTCCTGGAATGTGGCAGGCTTTGATACGTATGTTTAGACTGTCGACTAATTCGAACAGTCTGAAACATCGAGTGAGTAGATTCAGTGATCTTGTTGACCCTTGTTTGTTCACATAAAACGCCACTGTTGAGTTGTCTGTGTGAATCATTAACTGAGCGTTCTGTAACAGGTTGCTCCAGTGACCTATGGCGTTTATGACTGCTTGCATCTCTAGCAGATTTATGTGACATAAGCTCTCTTGAATGCTCCATAGGCCTGACGCTGTCCTGTCGGTAAGGTGGGCTCCCCAACCTTTTAGTGGCCAGCGTCCACGAGATGTGTTTTCGATTCGGCTCTACTAAGGAGACGCCGCCTCAAACATTCAATCTCTTGGTCCACCAGAGTAGATGTGGTTTGACGTAATCTGGTAGACTGAACGGTAGAGGATCCTCGAGATGGGCATTGATGAGGACTTGTAATG